TCTCTTAGAAATATGTATGTACTACCTTTAATCAACACATTATTCTGGGGTGGCCAACCTTAATGCAATGATTAAAACAAAAACCTTGGATCCCTTTGCAGGTAATTGAACATCATCCAGATTGTGGTGGGCACTGGAAAACCCTTGCTCTTGCAAAGTGGGTAGCCACATCCAAACTGCCTGGAAATTAATGATATGGTGATCTACTAGGAGTGCAGTCTTTCTGGCTTTTATTATGACTGTCCAACGGTTTGAAAAGACACACACTTGCGCTTGTGTTTTAAACAGGAGCTTCATGTGCAAAATCCCCACAGAAAGCTTTTGTTCATCCATTCCCAGATTGGTGCCCTCTGGTTATTTGGAATGCAACTCCCAGCATTCCCGGCCATTGGTCATGATGACTGTGGCTGGTGGGAACTGAAGTACAACACATCTGGACAGGGGCGAAGTAAGGGAAGGCTGCTTTATGAGGATGAGGAGAAATGTTAAGGCTCTTGGTATGCTGCCATGAATGCGTGTGGTGCAGGGAGGGCTGGCCTGGGATTGAGGAGGCCCATGCTCAGTCCCACTTGGCATGAAGCACTTGCACTGGCCCTGGGCTAGGCGCTGACTCCCGCTTTAACTGACCCCATGGGCTTGTCACAAAGGTACAACGGAGAAGAGAAGGAATCACAGAATCATAGAAGTGTAGAGTTGGAAGGGGCCATGAAGGCCATCAAGTCCAACTCCCTGCTGTTGCAGGAAGATGCCCACTGCCTGGATTCTTTGCAGGGAAAAAGGTGGGCTACACACAGAATAAATCATAAAACCCAGAGAACACCTGAAACGGGAAGAAACCAACGGCTCACATAGAGACTGGTCCATCGTCAACTGTGCCTGTTGTGAGCAGCGGCGGAGAAAATGAGGGTGTTCCAAGCGAAAGCACCCAGGTCATGCTCTCCTCTGGGGCAGAGCTAATTGCCTCCAACGTGGAAATAGTACTGCGAGGGCTGGAATGGAATGCTAACTGGTGAAATCAGGTCAGCCATCCAGCCCCGCCACTCCAGTGAGGTGCTAAAGTGCAAAATGCAGCCTCTTGGTTTGAACAAAAGCAGGAAATTGATTCTACTAATTGCACTCAACAAGCTGTCCCAAGCGATGGTGTGGTGATCAATTCTGAAGTGCAGATTCTGATCCAGATGATCTTTACAGCTGCACCAAGGAGAGTGAAAAGAAAAGGATGAAGCAATTCTCATCCCCGGCAGATATGGCTCTTTTGTAGTTAGTGGTTCTCAATGGCTCATTTAAAAGCAAGCCACCCACATAACACTCCACAACAAGGAGCACTCTTTCCGCGGGGGAAATGCCCCCCCCAAGGGTTGCAGCTAATGCCAGCATCCCTGCTGATAAAACGGGCTAGCAGTGCTCCCGGGGAGCCCCAGCTGGCTGCACCAGTGGGCTCAGGACCTGCTTTTGGATGCAAGGAGCGTGTTTTATACCTCCAGGGAGCACTCCTATCACCCCTGCCCGTAAAGGACACAAACCTCCAAGCTCACGTGCTTGCATGCGTCCCGTGTCCCAAACATCTTGAAGCAACTTTTATCCAGACAGGCATTCCGGCCATCTAGACAAAGCACTGGGGCAGAGCAGGGGTGCAGTCAGAGCTGGAACACCAAGAGGAATCTGCTCTGGTCCTTAGTCCTGTCGGGACAAAATGAGCAAAAGCTCTGCCGTAATATGGCCGGGGAAAGCCTGGCACTGCAAGAGCAGCTTAGACTCAATCACATCAGGAATCCATGCTGCAAGTCTTGCTTCCCACCACGCCTTCGAAATGCCAGTGTCCCTGTCCCAAAAGTCCTGTCCTTAGAGGTGCACTCTTAAGATATGCTGTTTACATGTCCTGAAGGTTCTTTTTGTATTATTTTGTCTTAATCCCATCCAATCCTTTTGCTTACTCCACCAAATGTGTATATAACTGATAGGTTATAAGAGTCTTGTACAGACTCCATTTTGGTATTCCCTTCCCAGGCTGCCTACATGCCGCTTGTATCTCCTGGATGTCTGAATAAACTGTAGATGTTCTTTTGATTGTGAAGAATTTAATCCTTTCCTGATGACAAAACAAGAAGGGTCAGTTATGTGGAGCTCTATCAGAGAGACACAAGAGGGTTGAAAATATAAAACAAACCTTTGTCCAGAAGGTCAGAACTAGTAAAGATAAGTCTGGAGGCTGATGTTTTGGCACCAGAAGCACAGGTCAAGATAACCATGAACAAAAGTAGCAGAATCTTTTCTGTGCTGATGTTTTCTCTTACTAATCATTGCAAAGAGCTAAACACATAAATTTGCTGTGCATGATGGATGTGGCAGCTGCTCCCGACTGGAGATGGGCTCACTCCGTATTGCTAGTGTGCACCTACAATAAAGTTTATTATCATTATTATTACCTGCTGGTGTTGCCTGTCTCTCTCTTGCTCAGACAATGAAAAGGGATTTTTTTGTTTTGTTTTTTTGGTCCTCAACAATTGTACATCCCCCATGACTCTCTTTGGGTGTGCTTTTTTCCACTCATGTCAGCTCCGACCATCTTCACTCATTGCCTGGCACACCCTGTTTTTCCCTTGGAGAAGCATTTGCAATGATGTTCTTTGCCTACGAGCTTTGGCGGGGGGGGGGGGGGTCCTTCAGCATCACAGCTCTGGAGTCACAAGACTTTAGGTTTGGAATTCCAAATAATCCTCTCCCCGCCACCCCAATGTTGGGAAGATTGCACCCTCAATTAAACTTCTAGGCAGGTCTTTGGCTCAACTTTCCTTTGCGATCCCGCATGGATTTCTGGCTTCAGCCGTCGACTGCAAAACAGTTCAGTCGCTTTTCCTTAGAAAGGTAGTGGGTTCAGCATGCTGTGCAGGAAATGCAGCTGCAACTCTGGAGCTGCATATATGAACAGCTGATGCTTGGATATATGCCCCCGAAGGAGGCTGCATTGCACCCTTCCACCATTCCCATTAGCTGCCTCGCTGAGTCCTTTGTCAGTCAGGGGATGTGAGCAATGAAAACACTGTTTATGTCAACCTCTCCCAGCAAGGTTATGAGTATGTTTAGTTCAAAACAGCTTTCCCCAGCCTCATGTTTTGGACTCATCAGTGCACCTGCTCAACATGGTCAATGGTCAGGAATGATGGGAGACTAGTCCAAAATCTCCAGAGGGCACCAGGTCGGGAAAGGACAAACTAAAGATTAATTTTGGCTACCCAGAAATGAATACACCTATTCAAAAACCATCTGTGAATTGCACTTGATTAGTTTTTCTGTCCTTGAGTCATTATGAAATTATGGAATTTCCAGAGCCTCATATGCACAGAAATGTAAGTATCTACAAATACAGAAGGGCATTTATGTTTGCATGTTTGTCTTCTGCATTGCTAACTGACTGATTTAACAAAGTTCTGCTTAATAAAGGGTTTGGTCCCTGTGGAATCAGAGAGAGAGAATCTATCAAGCATGTTCTTTTATACCACAGTTTGTATAGGGAACTCAGATAGAGGCTGAGTCTCTGCTCTGAAAACCCACTGAAACCCTCAGGTGACGACTATATAATAGAACACGTAACTACATTCTTTGTATCACCAATACAAATGATTGAGAATCTATTAACCTCCTAAATTTAAGTTCTTATTCTGCACTTTTAGTTTTCATTTGGTCTATGACATCATCATCATCATCATCATCACTATTATTATATAATATTGTTGAAGGATGCCAATGGCTTAAGAGGGGGGAGATGCTCCCCATTCAAAATAATACAAATAAACAAAATAATACAAATTAAATAAATATTAATAAACATTTGCAACACGCTTTTAACATGCTACCAATACCTTCAGTAGGACCTTTGCAGTAGGAATAAATCTAAGGACTGCAGATCTTCACAGTCTATTTCAATATATTAGCTTAATTGCTCTAGCAAGAGGAACTGTGTTCCTGTGGCTTATTATTGCCCTTCTTCACACAAAGATCTGAGGAAAGGTCTTAATTTGTGGAAGCATGTGCTGAGTCTGTGGCCGCATATACCTCCTATCCATGCGTACCTCCCAATCTGCTCCAGAGGATTGTAGGAGCCTCTAGAAGATAAAGGCAAGGTACAGGGTAAGGGTTTGGGAAAGGAAAAAGTTCCCTTGCAGAAGAGGAAGCTTGCTTTGCATAGCAGTGTGTGTGTGTGTGTGTGTGTGTGTGTGTGTGTGTGTGTGTGTGTGTGAGAGAGAGAGAGAGAGAGAGAGAGAGAGAGAGAGAGAGAGAGAGAGAGAGAGAGAGAGAGAGAGAGAGGGGCAAGCACGGAAGCACATAGGTATGAGATGCAGAATCTCCAATAGGCTTCAAGGAATGTGCATTTCTTGGCTTCATTCTCTGCTTTCACTGGATACCTAAGCTCCAGGAAACATGATGCTGGCTCCATTTTTAGCCCAAATGTGAATGACGTGCTGTCTAATTTACTGTGAACATGGCACCTCCTCTTGCTGATCCAATAAGGGTTCAGTGAAAAGGGGGCATCGCTGCAGCCTCCCTTTGCCCATTGCTCAGTCTCCCTCATCACAGCTGAGTGGCACGGAAGCAGGAGGAGAGCTTATGGAAGTGGAGAAAGTTAATCCTTCCCTCTCAACAACCATTACGAGCACCAGATTGATCAGCAGAAAATGCACAGAACCCTGTCAAGGCATGCATCTCCCCCAAGGCCTTTGGGAGAATAGGTCTCCTGACGGAAGATCTGCACAATTCCCTCATTGTGGAGAAGTTATGTGCACAATGGCTGCTGTTTTGCTTATCAGCCATTCAATCCACACTATCCAGGAGTATGCATGTGTGGGCATGTGCACACACACACTTATTCTGAATAACTCTTGCCAAGTGAGATTCATACATTTTTCATGCTTCTCCCATTTATATATACTCTTGTCATTTGATACCTCAATTCTAAATGTATGATGTATCCATATGTAATAATTCATTTACTTAAACATCAGTCAAAGTTTTGTCCATAGCTTTACTCTCTCAGAATGTGCAACATGAACATAATAGTGTTGTTAAGAACTTGGGGGAGGGAGGGGAAATAACTTAATGCATATAGGATTTTCAGACAGTCAACTTTCAACAATTGGATTTTTGTTAAGGAGAAAAAATCAGCACATTTGTTCATCAAATTAATTTAAAAAGTAGCTTTTCAAAATAAAAGCAATGCTTTCAATAAATATAGTCTCTTATATCCATAGAACACTCATTTCTAATAGAGGTAATGCAAATACATACTCAAACATCGAGAAGACTGAAATATAGGAACATGGTTAAGAATATTTGAGCCAGACACTATAAAGGATGGTAAAGGGCAGACTTTCCCCCTCTTTCTGTCTTCCAGCTTTACCGTGAGCCAGGCCTGTAGTGTAGCGCAACACAGCTCTTCTATTCCCAACTGCTCAGCAAGACTTTATGGAACATCTGCTGGAAACTATTAAGTTTCCCTGCCCTTTCCCTCTGCTATGGTGCCTTTAGTGATTCTGTTCTGGTAGCTTCATATTTCTTGTGCATCACGCTTGTGGCCCAATTCACAATCAAATCGGTGTTGTGGGAGTGTGGCTTGATCAGCCTGGGGGTAAGAAGGGACAGGTCTGGGCAGGGGCAGCCAAGTATCTGACGCATCGTAAGCACGGCTTGCTGCTCTGCCGTAACTGCTGCACCCTGAAGTAAGCCACTGCGGCCTTTGCGACTGTCATCAAATGGTTTTTTAAAAAGAAAACATTCGTCTAACACCAATGCGTATGGTACTCTGTGCAGTAACATGGCGACCGTGACCGGGATAAATGTATTAAATGGTCGTGGGGCCACGTCACTGAACCGCTCTGCTCTGGTTGCCTTATCCCACATCTTTAGCTTCGCAATTCGGTTGCGTAAACTTGCCCTTGTACCTAACAGGGCGAGGCTTTCTTGGGCCGCTTCTCATGTTCCATTGTGAAGAGGTTGAGCATGTCCTCCAAATCCTACAGCTGAAGATACATGAAAACGTGTTGAGAATATGCCATGAGACACAGCTGCCTGGAGAGAGAAGGCTCAAGGCCTGCAGGGGACAAGGCTTTCCTCTATTTCATGTTACTTCTACTTAGCCACGGGAGGAAGCTTGAATTAGGCCGACATTTTTGGCATATACCGTGAGAAATAGCCCTTGCCCATGTGACTTGTTCAGAATAAAGAAAGCAGAATTAAGATCTTAAGAGTTTTATCTCAAGCTCACAGTTTGTATAAATTTCTTCCAGATAAGAAGCACTGAGGAATCATCTGGAATTTAGCCACCATCGTTCTATTCTGTCTAAAGAACACTTGAAATCTCACACTTCATAACCAAAGCCTGGAATCACTTAAGTTTATATAACTACATGTTTGCAGAGCTCAAATGGAGCCCTGGCTGCCTCGGATTAAATAAAGTTACCAATTTCTTCTATTAATATGTATTACATGAATGCCTTTCCAATGGTGATTAGCAAAAAGGCAGTGGAATGTTCATCAAAAATCCAATCGGAATTGATAAAAAATCCTGTTTAATATTTCATCAGCATAATTTAATGACTAAATTAATTATTTAGCATTCCTACTATATTGAGGAATCTATTATTAATCTATGCCGATAACAGGAGGACTTCTTCATGGGGGTGGGACTTTTTGTTTGTTTTGCTGGTAAAATCTGTATTATGCCATTGGAACAGCACAGTATTAAAAGCTGCCAGCAACATGACAGTGATTATAGAAGAAAGTGTACAACTGATGTGTTATGTGCTCTCGGTCTTTAACCCTGGTCCTCAAAATTATCCAAACCTGATCAAAGATGCCAAAATAATAAATAAGGAACAGGGCTAATTATGCAATGCATGACACAGCTGTTATAGCTTCTCCCCACACGAAAGGACACGTGCACAGAGCTTGGGCTGATTAGGACTGTCACTAAACTTAGATAAATGAACTGCAATAAAACACTGGCATTGTGAGGATTTTAATACTTCTGACACCCTGCAGAAGGCATTCTAATGTGGATCTTACTATCTGTCTGTCTGTCTGTCTTTATAAATGCGTAAAAAAAATAATTCCGGGCGATCAAAATCTATGACATGCTGGGGAGCACTAGCTTTCACAGCCTCCCGTTCTCCTCTCCGGTCTCCTTTTCTTCAATTGCCTCAAGGCATCGTTTGGGCTTTGCATCCGCATTCCCACATCCTGTTTTGCTCAGTCCACATGACAAGCAAGCCAACTGGACCTGCTTCATGTTCTCTATGGCTTCATTCTTGGCGTTCTTCAACAGATCCCCTTGTCCCTAAGAAGACATAGCAAAACACAGAAAGAAGACAGTCATGAAGAACATGGGTGCGTCAAAGGAGAAAGGGGGGCTGGCTTGTCCCATTGCAGTTTACAGATCTCACTGCATCCACTTTGCAGTGAAATGGGCAGCTCTGTGGAAGATCTTCTGCTTTGGCTAACATAAGAGTTTCCACAGGGTTTGTGGGCAGATCTCTCAGACTGAACATATTTTGAACAACAAGAGTTAAGAACACCTCCTTGGAGTCATCTCATGGCTCTAGAGAGTGTGGCCAACTAGTTCCGGTGGAAACAACATTTCTATAGTGTGTATGTTTGCTGGGAAAAAATATGGACCGGAGCTCTAGCTGGCATCTGGATAATGTTTGCTGGGAACAAATATTTAGAAAATCTTCTGGAGAACCACCCACAAATCCAACTGAAGTAGAAGCCTCTTAAGCCCAGTTATTCTTACTCTTGCTAATGGCAAGAGTAGCCATGGTATGCTTATTAAACCAAATAGGAAACATTTTGTAATAATCGGATAGAAATGTTATCACACAACAATTACAGAGTTACATTTTCTAAGCGAGCCAGAGAGAATTATCTATAAAAGTTGGTATGAACATTTTCCCCATTCCCTCCCATTCACATTTTGTGGGCTAATCCTTCCTTTTCTATTTGCCTTCTAAATTTAGAATTTCTAAAATTAAAGTTGGGATTTACACATACACGGTTCACTGTTTCAGTTTACTGTCACACGCTGTGGCATAATTTTATCGACAAATTCACCCTGCAAAAAGGAACCTTGACGCAAGCACATGTCCATCACGGGTGTCCACGTGACACCCCTCCATTGCTGAAAGCACACATCAGGGGATTCAGTGTTTATGTGAAGGGCCTGATTGAGTCAGGATGCCCCCTGCTGCGGAGGAGCCCCGCACAAAGCCCTAGGCAGGGCCCTGCCATGGTGCATGCCTACAGTTCCCTAACGGAGTAGAGGCCAAGGTGCTGGTGCATAACTCTGTACCTCAACCTATTAATTTCCCCCAGTTTCAAGCTATCTCTAGATATCTCAACCCTGTGAACTGGTTAGGGAAGTGTGCCCCTGGTGACTACAAATGTTACTTTAGACTTCAACCCCATGGGCACATTATATTACTATGCTTTAAAAACAAATTAAGCTGAGATGTACATCCTTAAGAGTCCCCGGAGCAAACACGCTGAGTTTCAGGTTTCTAGGTTTCTCAGCCTTGGAGTTATGACGGACGGACACACCTCTCCTGTTATTATTATGGAGAATAATTTGCACATGGCCAAAGATGGGGAGAGGGAACAAGTTCGACAAACAAGGGAAATGCATTTCTTTGCCATAAACCACTGTGCAAAGCCCTAAATGACATCACCCAACTCATCCACAGTCCCCTCCTCGTGCTACTTAGCACTTGGAGACAGCCTGTTGTGACTCAGGCCCTGACACATGCCATGTCACTTGCTTTCATGGAGCTTCTCCGAGCCTAGTAAACAAGTGCAGAGGAACAATTGGTAGCTGGTGAGGTTTGGCACCAGTAAACAACGCTTGGGAACAACAGCAGCTGGAAATGCATCAGAAGTGGAGACGATCCGGGACAGCCTCGCCATTTGGCTAAGGGCACTTATTGGGACAAAGGAGCCCCTGTTTAACTGGAAGCCTCCGGTGTGACGACAGCGCTGGTCCTTCCTTCTGCACTAGAATCATTTAAAATATCATTGCAATTGGACTTACTTGCTCTGAAAGAACAAGCAGGGCATGCAGGATTTAGTACAAACCCTTTTGACGGACAACATGGTGACTGCCTATGTGAAGTTTCACCACATATGCAAGAGTGGAACCCTCCTCTTCTTGTTAATGCTTCTATACTGCTTAATATCCTAACATCTCTTAAGCAGCACAAAACACAATACATGTACAGAATTGTATGAACACCAATGTAAAACAATGCAAGAATAATATCAACAAATAAATAATCTAAAACAATAGAACAAAGACAATAAGAGAGCGCAGCTGCGCTATACTCTGTCACAGGACAGGGAAAGCCTGCCTGTGGTTTAAAGCTCACCACAGTTTTGGGTCTCTCGGATAAGTCATGGGGGAATGGTCTGGAGGGCAGGACTCAGAAGACCCACTGAGGGCTGCATTCTATTTGTTGTGGAACAAATAGGATCTCCTTGAGAGATCTCCGTGGTCAATGGTGTGTATATAGAGGAAAGGCTATAGAATGACCATCCGATGTTACGGCCTGCAGATGATCATTTCTGCATCTTTTGTGGACGCCGAGTGAGAGGGTGCAGGGTGGAAAGAGGCATCGAGTCATGTTCTGTTGCATGGCTAGAACACAGACCCTCTGTGAGACTCAAAAGTGAAGATGAAAGACGGCGGGGACACCCACCCTCGTCTTCTTTGCTGAGGTTCTGGGTGACCATTCCAGGGAGTCACCCAAGGTTCCCTCTTTGGATGCTGTCAGCAACAGATTGTGTTATTGGATTAAACGGGCATCATGCTGGAAAGTAATTGGCAATTATAAATGTTTGCGAACCATTCATATACTCTTGTGTTGTTAATCAAAGCTAAATACCAAGGGTAGGCAGATGGAATGGCATTGCATCATTGATCAAATGTAGTGAGGTTTTTGTTTCTCCCGTCAGCTGACAGCTGTAACAAGACTGTTGTCAGAACTAAGTCATGGCATATGAATGTAAACTGATTTACTTTGAACACTACAAAAAGTCAGGGTGATGCCATTCACAACAAATCTAAAATGCAGTTCTAATCCTTTAGATTGGGATTACTTAGAATTGCTTTTTCTTAAATCCGTTGCTTTTAAAGTGCTATTTATAGAATTCCTGAAGGAAAATCTGCTAGTGTTTTCCTTCTCAGATAACGCTTGCTTTCAAAAGCACTGTCATGGATGTGGCCACAGTGGTGGCACTGGAGCGCATAAAATATAAATGAACTGATGTCTGAAGTAACTGCAAGAGGGAATGGGTTGTCCTTTCCCACTCAGTCAGTGGTCATGTGCCCCAAGCAGCTCTTGGTATTCCATCCCCAGAGGGGAAACAAGCAGGATACAGCCAGAAGATCTGCTGTCCAGTTCTATCCATCTGATTCAATGCCTAGAAAGGTAGAGGTGAGTGGCGCATGGGACTTACAATCTTACATTTCTGTAACTCTTATTCCACATATGCTCACTGTATTGGAATTTGGAGTCTCGAGGCTTTATTAACATTGATCATTCCCACAGACAAGTCCGTCACTGCAGAACAGATGCAGTGAGATCTATTTCTTGATCCAAAACATGATTTATCACTGGATTAGATGAGATGGTGCATCAAATAGTTTTGTCCAAAGTGTGTACCGATATTTCACAAATGCAAAGAGAGATGGTGCAATATAATAAGAAAATAGAATGAGCACTGCAGGTGCATGAACGTCCCACCGAAACGTCCAGGATAATAAACCTTCTGAGACACTTAGAGTGGTGGTGAGTTGGCGAAGTCCTGAGTGAATCTCAGGGCAGCCTCAAATAATCACATTGCCTTTTGTTCAACAAAAGCCTTAGAGAGCCCATGGCAGACAGGAAGGGCAGGGCCAGCTGAACACACGGTCGGGGGCGGGAATGGGGTGCCTCCCTCCATGTTTTTAACCTCCACAGGGAGGAACGTGAAAAGGTAGAAAGAAATGTGAGGCAACTGAAGCTTTGTAGAGACGATGGAGCAGATGCAGCACCTTCCTTTCCCTTCCACACGATGCTTCTAGTTGCCTGCACAGATCCAAGGCTGTGGCATATCCTAAGCCATCTGAGGAATCTGGAACATCTTCCATGAGATCTGGAATAGGTCACAATGGTCTTCTCTACACAAGACATTTATAGTGCTCTCATTCCCTACTCACAATTGTTTACAGATTCACTGGACAACATCCTGACTCTCCAGTTTTGCTTTTAAGTCTACTCAGCACTTTGGGGAGGGTTTGGGGGTTTTTTAGAGCAGTGAAAACACAACATTTAATTGTTCAAATGAAAGAAAGTGCAATTTCCTCTTGTGCATTTTTACTGTTCAGTGCTCTAGAATCTGCCTAGATATGAAGTGGTATGCAAATACTGCATTTAATGTAAATAAATAAATTTGTGCTTTTCTGCTCTGCATGCACCACCTGGTAATTTTGTAGGAAATCCCCTCTGTGTAGGGCTCAAATCTCAAATCTGTGACAAAACTGAAAGTAGATATAGTGGATCCATCAGATCAGTGGTTTTCAACCTTTCCATAGATGGGAACTGGTGAAAAAAGGAAAACCACCCCAGGGACCACTGAGACAGAAACAAAAAGCACCATACACATAGCACAGTATTCTGTGCATTAGTTTCCAAACACAATACCCCCAAAAAATAAAAAATGAAAATCTTCCAAAACAACTGGAAACCAAACAACAAAAAATGCCAACAAAAAAGAAAATTCCAAAAACAAGGCAGCCTGGTCCCCAGCCAGCTCCCACCGAGCCATCTGTCCTCTTCCTGCACCCACCCCCACCCCCACCATGAATGCAATGGCAACCAAGGAAGAGGCGGTGAAGCACAGCTAGCCTCTGCACAGGTTTGCAGCAAGCAGGATGCACCCCGCTCCCCACACACACACACAAGCACAGACCAGCAGGAAAGGTCTCACAGACTGGCACTGGACCCCAGACCAGTGGTTGAAAGCCTTCTGAACCTGGTGGTCTTCAGAGGCATTTGGACCACAACACCCAGAATTCCCATCCAACAAGGCCATTGACTGGGAATTCTGGGTGTTGCAGTCCAAACCTGTCTGGAAGGGACAAAATTGGGGAAGGCTGGACTAGATACGATGGATACAATGGATCTAGATATAGCTTCTCAACAGCCTTGCCTAGAAAAGAACCACGTCCAAGGAATGAGTTAAGCTCCCAGCACTGGGGCTCAGAATATGAGCATACTCAGGATGTAAGACACTCTTTGAGGCTCA